ACAGAAAAAAACAGAGTGAAAAAAAAAAAACACAAAACAAATAACCCCAAAATCAAAACACACACACACACACACACACACACACTAAAACCAGTAAATGTTAAATAAAGTATAAAAGTAAATGTGTTATAAATATTGGATATTATAGAACTGATAAAAACTGAAATTAAAATATAAACTTGCTGCTGAGCATGGTGGTGCATGCCTTTATTCCAAGCAACTTGGGAGGCAGAGGCAGGCAGATCTCTGTGAGTTTGAAGCCAGCCTGGTCTACATAGCGAGTTCTAGGCCAGCTGGGGCTATAGGGAGACCCTGTCTCAAAAAGACCAAAAAAAAAAGGTTTCTAAAAATGAACTGAACTAGGAAAGGTCTGAGGTTTTGAAAAGAGGTGGCCTGACTGGGGCTTCTTGGAAAACCATGTTATGCTGAAATTTGAACTGAGAAAATCCTCACTGTGGGCCCAGGACAATCTGTCCTTGCTGTGAGGTCCTGAGCTGTCACCTGTCCCTGGCAGTGGTGCTTCCAGAGCATCTAGGTATTAGGGACAGCTGAGACACCTCTTCATAACACTGCCTAAGGGTGACTTCTAGAGCCCAGAGAATGGGGGCATGGCATTGGAACTTCCGTGTTTGCTAGAGAGGTGGGTGCTGGGAAGGCAGTGGGCGCTGGGAATGGGTGGGGTCTTGGTAGCACCTCTGCCCACCTCTGCACTAGCTACCACCCAGTTTCCCACTAAGGGCGGGCTCAGAGCTCGCCAAGTCTTGTCTTCTCTGAGTGACTGGCACCCACATGAGGCCAGGCCTTCTACCACCCACCCCAAGTCTTCTTAGCTAGAGCCAGGACCAAGAGAGGGCTGATGATACTTTGATAGACAATCACTGCCCTCCAGGTTCTCCTGGAACCATACTGGAGGCCCTCTGTCTGGCCCAGCTCTGGAGAAGGGACAGGGCCACAACTGGGGATGAGGAGTGTGCGGCAAGGCAGGCGGGGTGGCACCATCCCAGAGCACCAGTGAGTGAGAGGAGACTGGAGGGGCCGCCCAGACTGGGATGAGGAGTCCCTTGCTGGAGGATAGAGGTCCCCAGGCAACCCTGGAAGTGCTATGAGATCAAACATAAAATGCTCGGTGCAACTTCAGCTCCCAGTACACCCATTTCAGCTCCCAGTACACCCAGTTCACATACAGGACACACTTGGAGCAAAAGGTGCTTTGCTTGTCCTGAAAAATCCAAATGTAACTTAGTGTCTTGTCTCTTTGTTGGTTTGATTTTGGCTTTTGCTAAACCTGGCTCTATCAAGGGTAAGCAACAATTCAGAGCCAGTCAGCCGTAGGCTGACCAGACCTGAGACCAGCCTCAGATCATGCCCTGGTGTCAGTAGAAAACTGTCATCCTGGACACTGGGACACACAGGCTTGACCTCAGGTGGTATTTGGGCCTGTAGAATGTAGAAAAATCTCCACTCTCTTGAATTATAAACGCTGCCATGCTTCCCCGGTACCTGGTGGCCAAGGTCTTGAAACAGCCACCTCTGTTCAGCCACCTGCCCGGCAGCTCCTTCTAGAACCAGAGAGGAAGGGGAGGTGGCCCTGTCCTGTCCCCCAGTGCCCATTCGTTAACCCCAGGGGCCTCAGTGAGGTTAGTTTACTCCAAATACCACAAGTTTCTGGGTGGAGGCCACCGAGAGCGGCACCCCAACACAGCTGCTATGAGCGTGGCCCATTCTTCCCAGTCACTCACCAGCCTCGAGCTCCGCCGGGCATCCACATGGCGTCCACACAGGTAGTCCAGCTCGGCCTGCTGCTCACACAAGTACTCCCTGGGTAGATGGGAGGGCTATGAATAAAGGGGAGACTCAGGGCCGCTGACCTGGTCCCCTCCCTACATGAGGTCAACTAGCTGCTGCCATCGGGCACTTTGTGAGGCTTCTGACTACTCACAGCACCCCACAGATCAGTCTACCTGTTACTCGGCACATTATGAAGATGACTACTCTGATCCTGGCAGGTAGCAAGTGACCAGTCAGGGAGAGGCTGGACCCTGGCCTGAGACCCCTTGTGGCCCAAGCCCCCTAACCCCTACTGCTCTCTCAGGAGGGGGGCCAACCCTGGGGAGTCAGCATGACTTGCCTCCCGACAGATGATGGTGGCCACCTGGACCACAGGATGAGGACAGCAGAGGCCTGGAGACACCGAAGGAAGCACAGAGCCAAAGCAGGCGGGGACCTGGGTGTGGCCATCCTGTTCATTCAGTTTGGGGGCTCATCCTCCTGAATCCCATTTTTCCCCCTCAAACACAAGATAGGTAGATCCTTCCTGCTAGGCTACTATGCATTTGGGGATCAACTCCCCAGGAAGAAGGGGTCACATCAAGCCCAGACAACCCTCAGACCAGGGTCCCTAGGGGACACCAGTAGCTGTCCTGAGAGGTGCACTCCTCTAGGCAGGCCTCACTGGTCATGCTTACCAAAGCTACCTCTTTGCCCACACCACAGGGCACAGGAGTGAGAGCCATGCAGTTTGGGGGAGTTGAAGGGTGTTCCTAGTATAGGGAGCCAGACCTGGGGGTTTAAGGACAGCTCTACAGATACCAAGCATGTAGCTGTCCATGCTCTTGTTGCTATGGTTACTAAGTGCGGTGTGGGCAGGTGTTCAGAAGTGGAGGGCAGGGAGGTCGACTCAGGAAGGTCAGAGTTCACCTCAGAAAAAGCCACATGCTGAACTAGAGAACGCAGGAACCCTGGCCTCCCTGGCTGTGCACCAGCCAGAGCTGTTGATCTGGTTGGGGGGGGGTCGGGAAAGATAAGGGGAAGGCTAGTGGGGCCCTCGCTGGGAGAAAAAGAACAAGACCAGCCTTGGGGACATTCTCCATGAGGGGCTAGTTGTGTTAGAGGAGGACTGTGTTTCCAGATCAGGTCTATGTGGGCTAGGTTCTGCCCCTCACCTCTGCTCCATATAAGAGGGACCCCATCCCCACACCGAACCCTGAATCCTGATTAGTGAGGGTGGACCAGGTGGCCGTAGGAGCACGGAGTGGCCTAATCAGGTGACAAGGAAGCAGGAAACCAGACCTTCCAGACCAGGCTGCCCTGTCCACAGGCCCATCCCTCCCCACAACCTCAAAGCCGAGGGCACCTGTCTCAGTGGGGCTGGTAGCCAGAGCTGTGCCTTCCAGCACTTTCTCTACACCTTACTGCCTCCTGCTTCAAGCCCATTATCTACTGGCTGAGTTAGAATAGAAGTTTTGAAAAACCTCCCTATTCAGGGTCCCTCCTATCCTCAGTCCACTTGGGCTAAGGCAGGTCTCTATGGAGGGTGGAGGAAGGGACCCACCTCTCCACTCTGACATCTGAGGATTTAGATGCCAGTGGGAAAGCCCTAGAGAGTGGTGGTAGCCAGAATGTCCCTCCTGTAATGGCCTCTCCTGCTTCCATCATAGAAGTTTTGAAAAACCTCCCTATTCAGGGTCCCTCCTATCCTCAGTCCACTTGGGCTAAGGCAGGTCTCTATGGAGGGTGGAGGAAGGGACCCACCTCTCCACTCTGACATCTGAGGATTTAGATGCCAGTGGGAAAGCCCTAGAGAGTGGTGGTAGCCAGAATGTCCCTCCTGTAATGGCCTCTCCTGCTTCCATCTGTAGACTTTCTCTCTCTCTCTCTCTCTCTCTCTCTCTCTCTCTCTCTCCCACACACACCTCTGAGTTCATCTTCTCAGGCTCAGTTTATTGAGTGACAGTGACACCAGCTGCCACCGTGGAGAGGGACCCAGGTGGGTTCATTCATTTCCCTCTAGTGGCAGCATACAGGAACCTGGCTTGCCCAGCTGGGAGGCCAGCACCCCCTGCCGGCTGCACTTGGCACTCACAGAATAGGAAGGGGTGTGTGTGTCATCTCCCTGTGCTCAGTATGAACCAAATCTCTCCTGCCATGGTCTCCAGGGTAGCCACTTCCCTCCTCTCTCCTTCCTGTACCCCTACATCTTTCCCAGTGTGTCTCCCAACCAGTCCTGTCTGCCTGTCACACATACCCCTTCCACACCCAGTGAGTCCACTTTTACCCTCTCCTGGTCCATCTTGGTCACCTTTTGGCTGCCCTCCTGCCCAGTGCCGAAAATCCATGCCCTACCCACAGTCAGGGGGTCTTCTAGAAGCTTAGCCCCACTTGCCTGCTTCATCCCCTCAGAACCCTCCATGGCTCCCAGCTCACACCCCAAGGTGAACCCCAAAGGCCTCCCATAACCCAAGAGGCCCCGTAAGGTTGGGCCCATTGTCCCCCTGCTGCCCATTCATGCCCCAGGCTGGCCCTCCCATTATCCCCAGGTTTGTTTCCTCCCCCTGTGCTCTACTCTGTCATTTGCCCTCCTGGTGAGGCTGCCCAGAGCAACCATTTAAAACCAAGCCCTGTGCCTTCCTGCCAGATCCCTTTTCCTCCACAGCACCTTACATCTTCTCTGTGCAGGATGCCCATCCCTCAGAAATGGGCATGGTTCCACAACTCAGACTCTCACATCCTCACAAGTGCCCAAGACCCACCTGTGTAACACCCCCACCATGAAACCAGAGACTCTGCCCTCCTTTGAGGGGCTGAGGTGGTGGGTACTGCCAGGGCCTGTCTGGTGACCAAAGCAGCTGCCAGAGGTCCTCTGTGTCTCCCACAGACAGACCCTGGTCCCCAGGAAGAGGTGGGGAGGGCAGGAGGCGGAGGAGCTGCAACCCACTCACCTGAGGCCTCTCTTCAGTGCTTCGAAGATCTTCTTCACCTGCTGTGGCCTGGGGTCCAGGCAGAGCGAGCCCTTGCGCAGTGTGCTGTAGGCCCTGGGGGACTTGGCTGGCAGCCGAGACCGCACAGAGTTTCTGTTGATGGATTTTCTGCAGAAGAGGATAGAGGTGAGGAAGGGTTAGGGCAGAGCCTGCTCCAGGGGAGGCACTTTGGAATCAAGGAGTCTTTGGACCTGGCTGGGACCCACCTCCATCACCTCTGAGCTGTGTGGTCTTCAGAAAGCTGAGACTCTTAGGGCCTCAGTTTCCTCATCTGGAAAATGGGAGGCCTGGATTTAAGGATGAAGAGTAAGAATACTACAGGGCTGGAGAGATGGCTCAGCCGTTAAGAGCACTGACTGACTGCTCTTACAGAGGACCGGGGTTCGATTCGCAGCACCCACATGGTGGCTAACTGTCCATAACTCCAGTTCCAAGAGCTCAAACACCCTCTTCTGACCTCCACAGACATTGCACGACATGGGTGAACTCACACTTTCAGGCAATACACTCACACACATAAAATAAAATAGTAAATGAAGGAGTGAGGAGACCTTAATGTAGATCATAAACTACTATGAGGATGTGGTGAAGCAGCCTGAAGTCAGGCCTGAGGGGCATGTTCTGTGCGGGCAAAGCAGCATGTGGGACAAAATCATAGCACTGGGGTTCCTGCAGACGAGGGCACTTGTTCCACTTCATCCCTTCCCTGTAGACTTTGTACTTGTTTTTAGAGAAGGCGACTGTGATGGGTAGTTTAACTGTCAACTTGACACAACCTGGAATCACCTGGGAAGATGGTCTCACAAGGGACTGTCTAGACAAGGTTGGCTTGTGGTTGGGTCTGTCAGGACTGTCTTGATTGTCAACTGATATGGGAAGACCCAGCCTGGAAGTGGGCAGCACCATTTCCTGGCCTTGGACCCTGGACTGTGTAAGAGAAAGCTGGCTGAGCACTAGGCATGTGCATTCCTCTCTGCTCCCTGTGGATGTGATGTGGCCAGCTGCTTCAAGCTCCTGCCTCGACTTCCCCACAATGATGGTCCGTGATCTGGAGTTGTGAGCTAAACAAACCCTTTCTCCTCTATGAGGTTTTTGTCAAAGTATTTTACCACAGCAACAGAAATACAACCAGGACAGGAGCCTAATTTATATGTTCACACATATGTACATGAGCATGCACACACACATATACACATACATACACACACATACACAGACACACACACTCACACATATTCACACACATACCCCTCCCACACACACACACTACAGAAAACTCACCCCCAGGCATGCATTAGCTGACAAATCTCCCTCCCTGGCCTAGGCAGATCTCATGCCCCAAGTCTCAGCTATGGCTCTGGAGTTTTGCTTTGGATGTCACAGAAGAGAAGGAGGCTCTTTCCAGTTCCAGGCATCAGATGACACCCTGGACTCCCAGCCCCTCCTCTTGCCTTCACAGAGAGAGGCAGGTGGAGTCAGGCCAACTCTATAGCATAGTGAGCTCCTGGATCCAGCTACACTTGAAGTTGGACCTGCCCATTGAAATTTGCAGAAACATGAGCTGCTCAGTTATCTTTTCAGCTCAAGCCAGAGGGAAATGGGAGTGTGTCATGGACGGTCCCAAGACCTGGCATCTCCCATGGCGACAGCCAGGGAGTACAGTTGCAGAGTCAGCTCATTCCTTCAGAGGCCGGAGGGCCTGGCATGCAGTGTCTCCTTCACATCAGCCCTCCTCAGACGTGTCCTGATGCCCTTCAGTTACAGTTTCAGGGCTGTGTTCTCACAAGACATGTAAGCAAATGTGTAGAGAAGTGACTTCTGTTTGGTTCCTTTTTGTTTCGTGTGTGTGTGTGTGTGTGTGTGTGTGTGTGTGTGTGTGTGTGTTTTGCTCTGCTTTGTTTTGTTTGAGGCAGAGTCGCCCTCTAGCCCCAACTGGCCTGGAACTCACTGGGTAGATCAGGCTGGCCTTGAACTCACAGAGATCCTCTTGCTTTAGCCTCCTGGGTGCTGGGATTAAAGGTGTGCGCCACCACAGCCTGCTGTGGTTGGTTCTTTTTTAAAATATTTTATTATTTTTTAATTTAATGTGTACAAGTGTATTGCCTGCATGTATGTAAGTGCACCTGTGTTGTGCAGTGCCCAGGGAGATCAGAAGAGGGCATCAGAGTCCCCTGGAACTGGAGTTACAGACAGTTGTTAGCTACCATGTGGGTTCTGGGGATTGAACCCAGGTCCTCTGCAAGAACTGCCAGTGCTTTTAGCCTTAAGAGTTCAGCCATCTCTCAAGCCCTGTGGTTGGTTCTTAAAGGGAAGTTGCTAGGCCTGCCAGCTCCTCCTCCTTCCTGGGGTGGGGGAACAACTTTGATGCTGAGGGCAAGGAGGCGGGGCAGCGAGCAAGGACTGAAGAGGATGGCCCTGGGCAGCATGGAGGGGAAGGACCCACCCCTGCTTGAGGCCCATCACTCATGACCCTGGGCTTCTGGACCCTGGGCAGGTAACAGCTTACTTAGGCATCTGTCTTTGGACTGTTCTTTCATGGAAGCAACTTCCCTGGGCACTAGCACACATCTCAACTTCAATTTTGTAAAATGGGAGGCTGGGACACCAGCTCTGAGTCTGACACAAGATGACATTCAACAGATGCTTTGTACACAGAAGCTGCCCAGAAAGAACTGCATCCTGCGTCTCACCCTCACCACAGCTGGGATAATAGATGCTCAGCTAACAGTGAGCCACACTGAGGCAGGAAAGGCAATGGCCACAGGGGCTGGAGGATGGACATCCTGGGTGGGAGCATCAAGATTCAGCCTCAACATACATCCTTCACCGGAGCCTGAGGACCCAGCAGGGTGTAGGGTGAAGGGCACAAGGTGTGAAGCATGGGGTTCAGGGTCTGTCACTCACCCAAGCGGTCAGCTCAGATTGTAAACCCCTCCCCGACTCTAGGTGGATTTAGGATTTCGGGAGCTGAGACTGTATTTCTACCCCATCCCAGGTCGGACTATGTTGTTGATTTCCAGACCACACTGTGAGGACCACTGTCTGCTCACCTGTGGTCCCAGCTACTGGGAGGCTGAGGCAGGAGGATGCTGGAGCCCAGGATTCAAAGCTAGCCTGGGCAGGATAGTGAGACCCTTCCTTAAAAAACAAATAGTTAGCAGGGGCTGGAGAAATAGCTCCTTAGTTAACAGCACTGGCTACTCTGGCAGAGGACCCAGGTTTGATTCCCAGCACCTACATGGTGACTAATAATCATCCTTAACTCCAGTTCCAGATGCCCTTTTCTGGTCTCTGTGGGTATTATACACATGTGGTACACTTACATACATGCAAGTAAAACACTCATACAGAAAATAAATAATTTTTTTTTTGAGACAGAGTCTCCCTGTAGCCCCAGCTGTCCTAGAACTCACTATGTAGACCAGGCTGGCCTTGAACTCACAGAGATCTGCCTGCCTCTGCCTCCCAAGTGCTGGGACTACAGGCGTGTGCCACCATGCCCAGCAAAAATAAATTAATTTTAAAAAATAAAAATAAAATAAATAAACAACCAGGGCCATGTGTGGTGGCGTAAGCCTTCAGTCCTAGCACTGAGAGGCAGAGGCAGGCAGATCTCTGTGAGATTGAGGCTAGCCTGATCTACACAGCAAGTTCCAGGCCAGCCAGGGCTACATAGTGAGACCCTGTTTCTCAAAAATATAACAAAAGGGACTGGAGAGATTGCTCAGTGGTTAAGAGCACTGGCTGCTCTTGTAGAGGACCCAGGTTTGGGTCTCAGCTCCCACATGCCCTCCTCTGACCTCTGCAGAATTTGTAGACATGTGGTACACCTACATACATGCAGGCAAAATACTCACACACTGAAAATATAAGTAAACAAATAATAAATAAATACAAAATAACAATTTAAGAACAGTCAGGCATGGTGGTACATGCCCATGATACTGGCACTTGGCAGGTAGAGAGGCAGGAAGATGAGACATTCCAGGGCATCTTTGGCTACATGAGAGTTTAAGTCCAGCTTGGGCTACATGACAGCCTGTTTCAGTAATGATAAATGATAGACTTATTCATTAAATAAGTAAATTCATATGGCCCTGTCTCTGGGGCTCACTGACTCTGGTCTCCTGGGGTCACTCTCACACTATGCACTGGTTCCAGCCTTCAAGGCTCTCCTTCAAACCACTGAATTCTTTCCTTCCCCTCTTCCTCCTCTTCTTCCTCCTCTTCTTCCTTTTCATCTTCCTCTTCTTAGATCTCACTCAGTCTCCCAGGCCTTGAACTCACAGCAATCCTCCTGCCTCAGCCTCCCAGATTACAAGCAGGAGCCATCATGCCCACTGGCAGCCACCAGGAATCCAAGACTTGTCCCTTCAGGTGGGAGCTGACAGGGCAGCACCCTGGGGTGCCCACCATGAAGGCCCACGGTCCACACTGGGAGGCAAAGGACTGGGGACTAAGGAGTCAGGGAGGGGACAGGGATATGGCTCCTCTCCATCCTCAGCCCTGAGCCAAGCCACCAGGATTGCCCCACCTGGGTCCCAGCAGCCCAGTGGGCGGCGGCCAGGCTGGTTCTTGCTGGGCGAGATGCTAAGCATTCCATGGGCAGAAGACACAACAAACATGCAGCTTACTCAAGCAGGGGATGCCTGTCACCCTGCTGCCCAGGACCAGCCCATGCCCCAGGTCCCTGCAGCTGACAGCCCAGGACCAAACCAACTCGCCCTGATCCTCAGGGGGCCCCTGTCTCTACCGGTTAGGGACTTGGATTCCACTCAGCTCCTATGTTCAAACCATAGACCCAGCAGCTCTGGGCACTTAACTGGCCCTCAGTTTTCTTATCTGTAAGAGGAAGGGGGAGTAACAACACACCTGCATCCTGACTTGTCAGGATATCCATCCAGGAGATGTTTACTAGTCCCTACTGTGTGCCAGTCACTGTTCCCAAGGCTAGGAGAACAGTGACGAAGACAGATAAACACCCGCCCTGAGAGATGACAGGCCAGCCAGGTATGACCATGGGAAGTGGCAATAGGCTCTTTATCTAGGTCTCCCACCCCCATGCTATGTAGTCCTGGGTAAGTGATGGAAGTTTCTCGGTGTTTTAGTTTCCTCTCTGTGAATTGGGGTCCAGGGCTGCTAGGAGGGCTCCATGAGTTTAAATAGAAAGGACTTCCATCAGGATCTAGCCAAGAGCAGGCACCACATGTGTGTCAAAGTTGAAGAAATTAGTTTGGAGCAAGCCTATCTGATGGAACCTGCAGCTGAGAGAGTTAAGTGGGAGGGGAGGGGACAGGTGGGGACAGACAGCTCCTCCCACCAGTGGCTGGGGAGAGGGTAACCGTTGGCACTCAATCCCTGAAGCTGCTAACATTCACCCAAACTGTGTATGGAGTAACTTTCTAAAGCCCCTCTCCCTCACCCTCCTCCAGGCCATGTCACCCACCTCTTAGGCTGGGCCCTCCACAAGGTCGCCATCTCAGACACACAGGCTACACTGGGACAGGTGCGTTTCCAACAGGTGAGGGTCTTGGCAGCAGAGGGTCAGGTGGGGTGGGCAGCAGCTCTGTGTGGGGCTGCAGACCTTCACCTTAGGATCCACAGTCCCCAAGACCTACCCTGTCCCTCTCTCCCTGGTGACCTGGGCTCCCAAGGTTCCAAGCCTGGTCTGGAGTTCTGAGGGCAGCTCCGAGGGCTGTTGAAGTACAGCCCAGATGGTGAAATCAGGCCACATGCTACAAGGCTGGCTGGTGTCACCCAGCCAGGCTGGGAGCAGCCTCTGGGGGCAGATGTGTCACCAGCTCAGAGAGGACTCAGTAAATATTAAACAGCCTCAGGCCTGCCAGATAGGCACGTGCAACCTGGCGTCCTGTGCTCACGTGCAGGCAGGCAGCCTCTGCCAGTCTCCACTGCCCTCAGCCTTGCTCTGGCTGTGCCTGGGCAGGGTCTGGAGCTAGATGGGGCCAGCTGGCATCATGCATGTGTCCCAGCCTCAGGCAAGACATTCCCAGGACTAACCACACAGGCTCCTGGCCCCCACACATTGACCAGGCTGACCATGGTACCATGTAGTGAGACAATGACAGCCTTGCAGGGCTGAAGGTCTATTCTGTGTGCTTCACGCACAAGAACCCCCACCCCATGGGTCTGTGAGCCTGCCCCCAGGTACAGTTCAGAACCCACACTTGGTGATCCACCCCCAACTCTTGACTCCAGTGGTACCTGCCTGACAGCCTGGGGGAGGAGAGCTGTGCCTGTCAGTGGGAACTACTGGGTTATTGTCAGCATCTGGCCTGGCTTCCCCCACCCACAGGGCATGGGAAAGGGAAATGGCCTTATTAGAGCAACCATTCACACCTCAGTACAAAATTCTATCAGATAATTTTGCCCAAGTGAATTCTTTATCTATGGGATAAAAAGTCCTGTCTAGCCAGTGGGGGGGGGGGGCAGGGTGGGACAGAGGAGGTGTCTACATAGGTTGGAGTGAGCCCTGCCATTTTGCCTGCCCCACACCTCACCCCTATGCTGCACCTCTACTTCAGTGGAGGGTCTGCGGAACAAAGGCAGAGATGCGGCCTGAAGCCTCAGTCCAGTTAAGATGGTGTCGGGGGTCCAGACAGGAGAGAGGGACAAAGTCAAGAAGTTAAAAACAACTTCCCTGTCACCACAGGCAAAGTCTTCCCCACCTTAGACAGGGACTGCCCAGGCTGAGGCTAATGGTAGCCATTCGGGACCTCCGGAATAGCATCTTCTAGCATGCCCAGGAACCCCTGGGAATCCAGATTCCGGCAGAATCGAGACTGCCTTCTCTAGACTGCACATGGACACCACAGGAGCCCACTGATGACCACGGACTCAGGTGCCACAGGGGGTCACCTCTGCCCTTCTGCCACTCAGGGTTTCAGCAAGGGTGGGGAGCAGCACAGGCAGGGGCTCCCTGAGGATCTTCTGGACAGAGGACCTGATGGGGCTTGAGGGACCATGTCCTGTGAATATGGGATACTCTGAGGCCCCCAGAGACCCACAGCAGGGAAGCTGGGAGCAGCTATCACATCTACAGGTCCCACACAGAATGGAAATGCAGTGCGTGAGTCTCTTGGTGGCTACAAGGGGCACTACATCCAAGCACGGGACCCACACAGCACCCTCACCATCGGCAGCAGACCCTCCTTTCCCATGGGATCATGGAGGACCTTATGTACCTCTGTGGACCAACTCACAGGGGCTCACAGTTATGTTCTCCTTGGTCAGCCCTGCACACACACCCCAGGGCAGGTAGTAGGGAATGACTGGGCTGAGACACAGCACTGGTCCCCACTGATTTACACACACTCCCAGCACCTAGTATGTGCCTTCCTTACAGTGGTACCCTCAGTTCTCTTCAAGGCTTAGAGTCAGAGACTAAGCCAATCACTCTGGGTCTTTGGCCAAACTTCCTCCTATGTGGGACCTCTGCTTAACTTTTCCCTGGCCGGAGGCATTAAGGACAACAGCCCCCAACAGGGTTCTCCTGCGCATAGCCCCCAGCACCTGCTTGCTGCTCGGTGCCCACGCTGCCCTCAGCACCTTTGCGCCTTTGTACTTTCCACCCTCCCAAGCCCCCCCATTTCCCATCATCTGCTGAATAGAGTCCCTGCCCCCACCTAGGGAGTCCCCACCACCCTCTACACCTGGCTCTAGGTCCTGTTCAACTAGTCTGGCTGAACCACCTTGATTTTGTATTTTATTTATTATTTTTATTATTTTTTATGTGTATGCATGCATTGCCTGCATGTAGGTAAATACATCCATGTCGTGCAATGCTTTCAGAGGACAGAAGAGGCTGTTGAATCCCCTGGAACTGGAGTTACAAACAGTTGTTAGCTGCTATGTGGGTGCTGGGATTCGAACCCAGGTCTGCTTTTTAAAAAAAAATATTTTATTATTTTTATTTTATGTGTATGAGTGTATTGCCTGCATGTATGTAAGTGCACCCGTGTCATGCAATGCCACAGAGGTCAGAAGAGGGCTTCAGATTCCCTTGGAACTGAAGTTAAGGGCGGTTTGTAGCCGCCATGTGGGTGCTGGGCATCAAACCCAGGTCCTCTGCAAGAGCAGTCAGTGCTCTTAACTGCTGAGCCATCTTGTCAGCCCCAGATCTTCTGCTTTTTGTTTTCCAGATGGACAGTCCAGCAGGGCAGGGTCTGCTGAGGAAGGAGGGACACCTAAACCCCTCTGCCCCGCACTGAGACTCAAGCTTTAGTTGGGGTGCTGCACTCTCCTCTCCTCCGGGCCTAGGTGGAAGGTGACCTTGACCTATGGGTGGCCTTGGAACAGCTCTGGGAGGCTTTGGGCTCAGGTAGATGGGACCTAGCCGGGCCGGGTTTGGATTCTTCCCAGAACAGGGTCTGCAGGGACTGGCCAGGGCACACAGCTGGGGAACAGAGCATGTAGAAGACCTGGGAGACAGATGCCAGCATGGCCAGAGTGCAAGGGTAGAAGGAGCTGGCCAGGCCCACCCCAGGGCCTCTTGGTCACAAGGCTACTGAGTGGCCCCCTAAATAGGAAGAAGCTGCCAACAGCTCCAAGCATGGGCATGGCATCATGAAACTTGGTTGTTGATTGACTCATTGACCAGCCAGGCTTTGTATCCACTCTGGCTGGGGATCTGCTCTTAGGCAGGCAGAGGTTTGAGGCCCTTAGTTGCCTGAAAATCTGCTTCACTGGAGGTGATCCCCTGGGGCTCGCAAATGCCCAGCATGAGATGTTGGGAACTGGGGCAGTGGCCCTGGGTCATCAGGTTGTGGCCCTAGAGGCAGAAGGAGCTCAACTTCCAACCACGGGGCAAGAGGTAGGCATGGTGCAGACCACATGGTTTGGGCCTGGCCCTGCCAGCACCTCCCAGCTGCTCCTCATCTGAAAACCACCCTGCGTCTCCTGTGCAGCAGTGTGAGCCAGTGTCAGTGTGTCATCTCCCCTTCATGACAACCCCATGGGGAAGGACTCTCCTCCCAAGTTCAGATGAGGAAACTGAGGCTCAGAGAGATGAAGTCACTTGCCTCAGGTCACAGAACCAGGACGGTGGCCCCACTGCCGAGGCCACCAAACAGGAAGAGCACTCTTTCCTACCCTACCCACCAAGGAGGTACCTTGCTGTGTGACCTTGGAATCACCTCTCTGATTTGCCAGGCCTGATAGACTCAGCAGACTGACTTTAGAAGCATTTGAGACTCTATCATTCAGGCCTCCAGGAAATGACAGGTTCTCGGGCACCTGTAGTCATGTGTGCACACATGCACCCCATGCACCCCATACACTCCCGACATCCAGTCTACCCTGCACCCCAGTCCCCAGGGCACTTACGAGATCCTCCTGCTCTGCGCATTGCTGAAGCCTGCGAAGGAGGCACTGCGGCCCACAGCCGCCACAGCCCCGGGGTCCCCAGAGGACAGGAAGCGAACCCGCACAGACATTGTGTCACCTGGAGAAGAGGGCAGGATGGTCAGCACAGGAGGAGGCCTCTGTCGCAGGCCAGGCCTCTGTTCACTGGGGTTTGGGGTGATATCACCCTGGGGCAGGTGGCAGGAGGGAACTCTGACTGACAGCTGCTCTCCCCTCCCCACTTTACCTCCCGCATGCAAAGCTGGTGTTAAGCACCTGCTGTATACAAAAGCACTGTACAGACACACTGAGTACACCTGGCAGGGCAGCAACAGCCTGGGCAAAGGTCCTGTGGTACCAGACGCAACTGTAAACAGAGGGGTCTGTGGGTTGCCGTGGAGTTGAAGGGCTGCAGAACATGGGTCCCCAGAGTGTGGTGGCCCCAGGGGAGACTCTGGCCTTGCACTTGGATAGAGGTAGCTGGAAGCAACAAAGACTGCCATCATCGAGGGCTGCCATGGCCCTGGACCATCACCTGTCCCTGACCTGGGCTGTAACAAGACCAGCCTAGAGCCCTGGCTTCCTTCTTTTTTTTCCAAACTATCTCCAGCTTGGAAAAATGCCCCCGTGTCCCTTGGGAGTGCAGCCCTTCTAGCTGGCATCTTCAAGCATGAGCAGGAGGGAAGTTCTTCCTCATATCTAACCCAAATCTCTGCTGCTACAGTTTCATACTTGGCTCCCTTGTCAAGGTGGTTCTAATCCAAGGATTCCAGGGACCCTACCACCCAGAGCAAACCTACAAGCAAGGCCTCCCAATCAGCAGAGCCCTCTGCCCAAGCCGTCCATGCCCCGCCCCCACCTCCCACCCTGGCTCCTGCAGTCATCACCATAGGGGTCGCCCTCCTGGGAGATAAGGCTCCCAGAAGCCATCTGAGCTCAGGGTACCCAGAAGACCCCAGAAATGGAGACCGAGCAGCCCCTTCAGACAAAGATTGCCAGGCAGAGGTTCAGGTGCGACAGCCTTTATAGGCCGTGTGGGTTTGTCACCACTCAGTGCAGCCACTTTGGAGCTGAAGCTTAAACAACATGGAAACCAAAGGTGTGACTGCGCCCAGGACACTTTATTACTTTATTTACTTTATCAACTGGGTCTTATGAAACCGGGGTTGGCCTGGAACTCATTATGTAGCTGAGGATGACCTTGAGCTTTTGACCCTCAGGCCTCCACATCTCCAGAGTACTGGGATGACAGGTGTGTGCCTCTGTGTCTTGCAGTACTGGGGATCAAACCCAGGGCCTCATGCATGCTAGACAAGTGCTCAACCCACTGATCTATATCATAGTCCCCAGTGACTGTTTATCACAGAAGCAGTGACTACTGGAAGACAATCCTGAACCTCACTGCAGATACCCCAAATCCCCCATGCTTGACATGCCTTTCAGCACTCTGCCTGAAGGTCGTGGACCACCATGGTCCATTATCCCAGTCAACAGGAGGCAAGTGCACTGATTATCCCCATTTTTCAGATAAAGAAACTGAGGCTGCCAGGCACAGTGGCTCAAGTGTATTATCCTAGCACTGGGGAGGCTGAGGCAGGAGAATTTCTGCAAGTTCCAGATAAGCAAAATCTATAGAGTAAGACACTGTCTCAGACAGTACAATACAAAAGAAGCCCAGTTAGGAGAGAGGATGGGCCTCCAAGATCATGAGGTAGGAAACCCAGAGCTGGCACTTGAACCAGGCACTGTGCCTAGCACTGGGAGCTGGGCTGCATCATCTGCTTCCCCATGTGGACCAAAGAGATTTCCACCCATAAGCCATCAGCTGAGAAGAGGAAGGGGCCAGGAGAGAGGCCGGTTTGGGAAGGAACCTACCCAGCCAGTGGGCACTGCTCCTGAATACATCCCTGCTCACCAGCCTGCTGCTCAGCAGTAGCTGTGCTGGTCCATGAAGCTAGAAGTGCCTTCTCCTGACTGACCCCTGCAGGTGATAGTCGCCCCCACCCAGAGGCTTCAGATGGGGAGGGAGAAGGACCGGGGTGGGCTAGCTGTGCTAAAAGGAATGACTAGGGTTTCATGGCAACCCCTGATGAGCCTGGGGAGAGCTCCGGCTTTCCTAATGTTCACACAGGGCACCACACAGGGCACTGGAAAGTGAGGCAGGCCACTGGTGCCTCAGCGACCCCTCCCTGCCCATCCAACTGCTACCCCTGAAGTGGTTGTCATTAACCTTGAAGTTGCTGATTGAGAGCAGGTCTAGGGATCCCTTATGCAGAAGGACCCTCAGGTGGCTCAGAGCCACCTCGGGCAGCCAGCTGTCTCGGGAAGCAGAGTGCCCAACCAGGACTCACTGAACCCCCAGGCAGAGGAGCAAGGGGAGAAGATGAGAAGTTCCCAAACCTTTGGTGGCAGACAGAATGGGTGGCCTCTTCTCTCTGGTGCCCCTCGATGCCTGGCTCTGGTTGGTACTGGTACTGTTGGGACCCAGCTGGCCAGCTGACAGCGCTTCATGCAGACCTGCTTCCCCAACTCTGGGGACCCTGGAGACCGCCCTGGGCCTCTGCTCCCAGGTGCAGCCAGAGGAAGCAGCCGCCACAGCACTCCAGCCAGCCACAGCCGCCCTGTGTTGCTGCCCACCAGGAACCTGCAATTTTACCTCATTTTGAGGTGAAGTGACTAAATTTAGCATGGCGGGCTTTCAGGACTGGGTGGCTCTTATGCCTGAGTCCCTCACTTAGGGCTCTTTTTTCTCTTCCTTAAATGCTGGCCAGGGCTTAATTTGCTTTTAGGAGTTTCTGAAATAACTCCCTTGACGAGCTTGAAAGCAACTGGCAAAACAGACCCGGAGAGGGATGAGTATGTCCAGGAGGGGCGGACAGCCCGGCAGAACTCCCTGGAACCAGACTGTCTGTCCCTGAGGGGGCCTGAGGGAGCCAACCTCTCATTTTACCATCTGCTCACATGACTTGCCAGGAAGAGCCAGAAGAATCTGACTCCTCCCCTGCTGAGCCTAACTGTTGCTCCAGAGTCCTGGTGGGATGGCCCCAGGGCCTTTGCACTCTTCTGCCTGCTCACTCTTCTGGGGGGTGGGAGTCTTCTCTCACTGCCCCCTCTCAGCCTTCATGCCTCAAGGCCTGAGAGAGGCCGCCCTTGAGGCAGCCCTGGTCAAAGCAGCCTCACCCTCATCCTGCTAGGGGCCCCTCTGAGGACTTGCCAAGTGACTCTTTACAGTTTGTGGCTCATTACAGACTTCCTAAGACTCTCTTCTCTTGCCAGGCATGGTGGCACAGGCCTTTGATCCCAGCACTTAGGAGGCAGAGGCAGGTGGATCTCTGTGAGTTCAAGGCCCGTCTGGTCTATATAGCAAGTTCCAAGCCAGCTGGGCTACATGGAGACCCTATTTCAAAAAAAAAAAAAAAAAGAAAGAAAGAAAGAAACGAAAAACAGCAACAACAACAAATAATCTCTTCTCTGGGGCTGGAGAGATGGCTCAGTGGTTAAGAGTGCCAGCTACCCTTGCAGAGAATCTGAGTTTGGTTCCCAGCATCCACATGGCAGCTCACACCTGTCCATAACTCTAGTTCAAGGGGATCTGACGCCATCTTCTGACTTCCACGGGCACTGCATGACATGACACACTTACATGCAGGCAAAACACTCATACACATAAAATAAAATGAATCTCCTCTCTGGCTGGGACTGTTTCTGTCCAGTACACAGCTGTGGGCGTGGTCTAGTAGTGATTGACAGAATGGCTGATGAAGGATGTGTCTGAAGTTTCTCCTTCATTCTACCTACTGGATGCAGGCCCTGCATACAGTTGTCACTAGGCCTATAGAAGACGATGGTATTCAGGTTATCAGAACATGGGATCGTGAGACTGTTCCATGGCAGGGACAAGGCCTGTGGGGGAAAGGGCAAGCAGCCCATGTCCAGGCCAGTGAAGCAGGTAACTGCAGACAGCCTGGGGGTTGGGGGCAGGGGCAGGACGCCTCCTGTAGCCATCTAGAGAGAAAGGAGGGATTGGCCTGGCAGAAGGCAGCATGGAAGGGCGTGTCAAGGAAAGGGAATGGCATGTGCAGAGGCCCAGACGTGAGAAAGACTGGATCAACACATAAAATGTAGATTTTTGTCTGTCTAGAGCCCACCTTCTTTGTGTATGAATGTATGCATATGTGTATGTGCACACGTGTCCATGTGTGTATATGTATGGGGGGGCATATGGAGGCCACATGCAGGCCTGCCACACACACCTCCAGGGGCAGGGAGCCACCGTTTCTGCTTTCAGCCAAGGTCATGTCTCCTGAGCTGGCACAGAGCAGGTCACAGGGGGGTCAGGGATGCCTGTGCCACAGCCAGCACCAACTGGGTGTCTGCTCTCTACACCTACCCCCACAGCCCACCCTGCAGTGCCCACTCACAACCACCACATGCTACCTCCCAAGCCTTAGGCAAGAAAGCCCACAGCAATGTGAGTCCAGCCAGGGCCCATGTCCCCTCTGGCTGATTCTCTTCAAGGAAGGAGATGTCACCACTCTACAGCCAGGTTCGCCCTGCCAGGGCAAGCCAGTCCAGGCTCTAAGTTCCCTCCCTCTGAACCTCACTTTCCGTCTAGAAGGTGGATGGGTTGTGCAAGGCGTGGTTCCCATGTGCACAATGCTCCAGGCTGAGTGAGGACCAAACTGAAGACTCCAAGATGCTAGGTGAGAAAGCGTTTGCTTTTGTCGCCATTTTCTATATGTGTGTGTGCGCATGTCTGCAAATATGCCTGCGTTTGTATGTTTGTATGTGAGTATGTAGAGGCCTGAGGTCAGCCTCAGTTATCATTCATGAGGCACTATCCACCTTATTGAGACAGGCTTTCTCGTTGCTCTGGGGCTTGCCAATGAGGCTAGACTGTCTGGTCAGCAAGCCTGGGAATCCTCCTGTCTCTGCTTCCTGAGTGCTGGGATTACTGACACACCTAGCTTCTGGGCATTAGGTCCTCATATTTGCATGGGTACTTTACCCACTGGGTCACCCCTAGCACTTGTCTCTGTTCTCTCTTTCTTGCCCCAACCCCTCTCTGGGCCAGGATTGAGCTACTGCAGGCTCCTCCTG